TATTTACTGTTAATATATAATATGTACTAAGATAGTACGCGACGTATGCTATAAAATATGCTTTTGTACATGTATGTACATGCTTAACTGTATTCGAATTAGAATTATTATTATTATTATTAGAATTCAGAAAATTACATTTGAACTTATTACCAATTCATTAATATCTTCAAGTTAATACCCAGACGTGCGTTTGATTGCACGTATTAGATAGGAGAGAAAAAAGTAGATTGATCTTGTTGTAATACATTCCAGTTTATTTTTTACGTTCGAGCGTACTAACCTCAAAAGTACCCTAAGATATATCACGATTTTTAGTACAAGTACATTTTTTAACTCTGTTTTTGCGTTTTTCTTGTTGTAGGCAAAGCACATATTCACAAATACAAACAGAGGACCGGAAAATCGCCCTTCTCTAAAGTTAATTGCGATCCAAATGTGATCGGTAGAGAACGCATTAAGGAGCCATCTACTTCATTGGAAAATGTGGGCAGAAAATAAGAACCAGAGAATTCCACTGCTATCGAGTACCTTGATAATAATGTTATATTATGGGAATATAATGTTAAAATAAGGCCCAGTTGTTACAATCAAACAGATAAAAAGAGAACGTGCGTACCGGGATAGCATTTTACCGCGATGTTTAAGTTTACAAATGTCTTCGCTGAATGAGTGTGTAATACCTCAACTGTAGCCTGCTCTAATGTAAGCTCGAATCATACATTTATGTGATTTCTCTTTGAAGACTGAATAAATTTATATGTATTATTAATTTGTACGCTGGGTTGTGTATAATTGCTTGCGTTATATATAGCACTACGGTGCTAGAACATAGTGTTTCAAGTTCGTTGTCCTGTAGAGTGATCTAGTTTGTACGGCATCGACGGAACGTTTAAGCTACATAAACATAATTTAATAAGCCTAACTTGTTGGCCCCGTGAATTCTATTAATTTCATTAAAATTAACAGACTTCATCAATAAGTCGCTAGAGCTAATAATCCCTATGAGAAAAACGAGGTCTCAGATCCTTGAAGACTAGTGGATATTAGATGATTGATCAGCAGGCGGACAGTCACTGAGCAGATAGAGAATCAACTATGTGCTAGGCAGTAAGCATAGATTTGCAACGTGTACTCCATTGACGTACACGTTACACGTCACCTGATTACAGGAAATTGTGTGATAGGTGCGAACCTTTACTGCAGCTCTCTTCATAGCGCTCCTAAAAGGGCGTCAAAAAGTGACAAGAGTAAATTCAATACCACAAAAATTTTACAGTATTAAAACGACAGTAAGATATTAGTAATTAGTATGTTACATATCTCGAAAATCCTAGGAGTTTTCCGTTCCGAAATGTCGATTTTTTAAACATCCTGCCGTTGGCGCGATCGTTTGAACGACTAAACCTCTGGCTGAGGAACCTAAAAAAGGTCAGTAATTCAAGCACAATATATATATCACACGGCAGGTGCGATTAAATAAAGAAAGAAATCGTTGATTAAATAGAGAGACATTTAAACATCCAGAAAAAACTGCGTAGCGTCAAGGATCTTTTCGAATACACTGGAATTTTGGATCTCTGCTCAACATGTCAAGTTTGATAGAAAAAATACATTGCACAGTGGCAGGGAAAAAGAGAGGTCAAGGACATATCTTCACTCGCAAATCGTATAATATGGTGCTTCAAGCTATCTAAAAGGTCTTCACGTGTGCAGCTGCACTCAATTTCTGCACCTGTCTAGAATGGCGTCGACAAACTTCACTAACGTTGAAGATTAGCATTGTGCTTTTCGCAAAAAATCAGGGCAGAGTGTTCTTGGCATTCCCACTTTGTTCGAACGTAATGGCCTTTCCGTTGATATAAGGCCCATCGACATAATATTTTAGACGATTCCTGGAGAGTTCCTAGCGCATATCAGTATGGCGTCATTTTTCTAGATAAGTGCAGTATTACACTCGACTTACTCCAGGTCACGCATACAGAATTTTTGCTCTCAATGGTAGTAGTTAAACGAAAAAAACTAGGATCATAACTGTATTCCATAATGCAACCATCAAAGGAAATTATTTTGTGGCAGGTTTTTTAGAACCAGTTAATGGACACAGACAAGCCAGGTAAAAACTGTATGCATATTCATATACCCGAAATGCGTACTTTGCAATAAAAAGGAAAGATGCGGAAATAGGTATTTTTTAACGGATTTTTAGTCAGTGTCTACCAAGAGATTGAAGCAGCTGACAGACAGACGTCGTTGTAAATTTTTCAAAAATGTATTCGAACACATTTGCTTTTCTTTTGTAGCATATCTCTCCTTGACTGCTTTTCCTAAGGTCAACCGATGGATTTCGACAAGCTGTAAAAATGGATGTTTCGCCATGAAGAGAGCAAAAATTTCATGTGGTAACTACTTCGTTTATGTTACATTGGAGTGAAAATGATTTATGTGTAGGTCTATGTAGAAAGGTGCTTCTTGACACCAACCGAGAGCTCTTAATAAGCTGAATCGAAGTGTTGTGTATATTCTTATTTGAATTCTCAATTTTCGGAACGTGCTGTTCGAATAGTGAAACTGTAGTATGGTGCTTTCTATTAACACGATTTTTTGCTACTCGTCGATATATGTCGACAAGCCGGATAAAAATGTCACATCTATCTCTCAAATACTGCCTGAAAAGGGCTACAAATCCGATTAGTTGTATCGGTCAGGATGAGATTAAATGCTAGATTTTGTACGGTTTTCCGAACAAATCAATCTAAATTAATAAATGACATTTGAAAAGTTAGGGCTAGATGTAACGCCATATGAATCCGGTCGGCTGATGATTGGCCTATAGCTTACGTTGTCCTATGTGTAACATCAATAAATTACATTAAAAAAATGGTAAAAAAAGACGCGCAGCGAAGCCCGCAGGTTCATCTAGTTCTTCTATACGTAGTACTATGGCTCTTAATCCTGCGGGTATCTTCCACCGAAAATTAGTTCTCAGAGAGCACAGATTCCTTATGGATTGTTGGAGTGCCCTCCCGGAAAATGTCTATGCACAAGATGGAGCAGGTTGGATAAATATCATGGATCGCTTACTTGGTAACGGTCGAGAGTTTTTATTACAAAGTTGTCTCCTCAGGTTTTTGAAGATGGTGGAAAGGTTGAAATTAAAGGGTAATTTTCGACTTTTTGTGTATTCTTCTGATTCAGTTGCAACGTAGTACTTTGCGCCGCAATGTAACACTTGACCATATCAGTTCACCTGTTGTAGTTGTGCGAATGTTTTCTTAAAAAAACAGTTTTCCCTAAAAAAGGGAGGTGATGCTGGAACAATCAAATTGTACAGCGGTTGATCAAACCATCCTGGATTAGACGAATACTTCTTTCAGATGGCAGGGTTGATTAGGATGGAAAGCAGGATAAAAGCATGTAGACTATAACACTTTTTCAATTGAAAAGAGGAAAATAATAGAAAGGCGCGGGTCTGAATGAGCCAAGTTAGCATGGTTAGATGTTGAATAAAATTTATGTAATTTTATATTGACAATTTTGAAACTGACGTAATTCTTATTTATCCAAACAGTGAGATTTATGAAGTAATTGCATAAAGTTAAAAGTTTACTAGGGCAATCGGATAGGAAGCTGGAATCAAATAAGCAACCACTGCTGAACGAAGATAATCACTCTAACCGGAAAGTTGTCATAGGATAGCTTCATTAATATGACGAAGTTTCAGAAGGACGTTTGTAAAAGTATTCATCTATCAAGAATCATAAAACAAGCTGATGAGACAGTTGCAGCGTAGCAACAATTCTGTTAGACAGTTCCAACGCATATATTGAGCAGGATAGTCACCACGAGATAAATGCCGCTCATAGGTTAACAGAATGAGCAGAAAGTGTTAGCATACTGGGATAGCTGGTACGAACGAAGAACACTCGTTTTACAGAAGATCGCAACTATAGAAATGCCTATAATCGATAAATATACGGTCAAACTATCGTCTAGATGTAGCGCAGGTTAAGTCTCTAGTACCCTGATCATGTCGCTCCTACTGGGACCTTTCTTACTCTCCTAGAAGTTCAGCTATAAGGTTCCTCATATTTTATATTATCTATGCAGAAGCTAATATAAACTAATGTATAGATAATATGAAAAACTGCTGACCGACAGAGAGCTAGTTACATGGAGGTCTATGTGAAGCGGGTATTTTTTAGCGCCAACCGCAGCCTCTTGTTGAGCTGAATAGAAATGCTATGTTCCGATACTGCCACTTAGCCTTCTAAAGCGAAAATAGCATTTCAAGTGTAATACTTGACGTATGCTCTTCCCTCTAGGAGGAGTATGTTTTGTTGCCAACCGATTAATTTCAACGAGCTGAGCAAAAGTGCAGAACGTCTTCCCTTACCTAAAATAAATGTTTCAAGCCAGGTCAAAAACATAGTGTGGTAACCGTTCCGTTGATGTGACATCGAAATTAACATTCACTATAAAATCCCGAAAGAAACAAGGAGTTGTTCCTTGGTATTGATACAAAACTTTCGATAAACTTATTTGAAATCTAACTTTTCTTCTTTTATACGCTCTTGTACCTAATTGTTAGCGTAGCGGGCCGGAAACGTCATTCGCAAGGTTAAAACTAAACATAGCGTTCTATATAAATTATCGCAATTGTTCGCAGCGCCAATCGACGAAGTGGCAAAAAACGATCATAAAAATCACTATTAATCATTATAAAAACAAATTAATAAAGTATGATTAATAAATCCTTGATCAATTTTATAGATTTAGTTCAGGCTCAGATTAGAATGGACTTATATAACTGCGAACGAACAACAGACTAGATGAAGTAGGGTAACTGCAACCGACGAATACCCGTGTGGTAACAATGCGTACATTGAGCTCGTTCAAAATTCGCCGCCATCTAAATAAACGACAGCAAGCTGATAGTAAACGTAACTAGAAATTTAGGTATTAGGACCTGTCAGCTATCAACCTTTAACGCGTAGAATTCGGGACTCAGCAGGAATTTCTAATCTAAGACGATTCATTGCGTATCTGAATTCATACGAGTCGCATTTCAGAAATACCCTGGCTACTCTACACTTCCGCAATTTGAAAACTGATAAGGAAAAGAAATATAGATTTATAGAAAAGTGTCACTGAACTTTTTTTCATAGAGTGATATACCACTGTCAGTATAGTAAGCACAGTATTGTGGCGCCCGTGATAAAGCTGGTTGATACCAAGTACTTTCGGAATATATTTATGTAAGTATGATGTTTTCTACGAATTACTTGGTCGACTTTGTACTCACAGCAGGTAGGGATTTTTATTTAGGCCAAAACCTAGTGCTCATGCTAAAACAGCTCAGCTAAAACGGTGCGCAAGGCAAATGTAGACTCGGATTTAATAAGGATTGATGCACAGATTATACAGTAGGAATAAGGAAACCAGCTTCGTATGCTGTAAATAAAACGGGAAGTTTCCTTAGTAATCAGCCATAGAAGACAAGATGGAAATGTACCAGCTGATGGGGTGGCAGATGAAACAGGCCTGTCTGGCCTCGTCCATTCCTCTATACTACTAAACTCGCCGCACTTGGAAATGTTTGTTCACGGCAACCTATGATTAAGGTAGAAACCAAAAAAATACAATACTTTATTTAGAGTCAGCATTTGATCTGACCGAAAAAAAAAAAAATATATGTCGCGTACATTATTCAAATATGATATACCTTGAAATTGACCCAACTACATTCGCCATATTTCACTGCGTATATCTGAATCACAGTGGCGCCAAATTGGCCGAAATCAATGGCACCTGAAATAGGCCGACGCTCTACAGAGCGAAATGAATCCAGGTTTCGACAATGACAACTGATTTAATAGGTAGCGTACGCGTTTGAATAAATCTCATATTTGGTAATTCACTGTTCTTGCGCCCACAATCCCCCATCACTCAACAACAAATCTATGAAATTATTGTTTGCCATTAAACATATGCCATCTTTCTCGAGTATGCGTTACGAAATACTATTGAATGACAACTTCAGTTCCTCGATATGCAGCACTCCATTCGTGCGAAAAGAACATTAGAGTGAAAGACCCTCATACAAATATCGTTGATTGAATTGCGACGACAGTAGCTTTGCAGAAATGACGATTGTAGTAGCAAAAAAAACGATTACTAAGCAATCATTGTATAAAAAAAGAACTTCGTACAAACATCACTTGTATTAAAATCTGTAACGAATACCCCGAAATGGCTGATTCCAATTATTCATTATGAGAGTACGTCAAGTGTATACGTATTACGACGCACGGTCCTTCTTCACCTTCCGCCGACGTACATATCTTCCTCTTATTTACTTCTCGTCTTGAGTGTAACACATTTGTGTTGAAGCCTTCAAGATTTGTATCGTTATCAATGTCTTGTAATAGGATATAAGCAAGTTGATCAATGTGACAACAGTCGTTACATACGAAAGCGACGTGTTAAATTAAGGAACAATCGTCAAGGTTATCTATTGATTAGACAAGAGAGTACAACACTGAAGCCACGAGCGTCTAGCAGTTATTTGAGATCTACGTAATAACTTTCATTACTTCGAAAAGAAAAACGCAGTACGCACGCTGTTTTTACAACTTACTCTTTTTCTCTCATGATTACATCATGGAAGATCAGCTTAACATCGTGCTTTCATATTCTGTTCATCTTAATACCGAAGCTATTAGCTAACTATCTTTAGGCTGGTCGTAAATTCGTATCATATTTAGCAAGTATATCCAGTGCCCACGTACATTAGTTTACGCTTTCAAAGGGCTCAATCTTCGCTGCAAGCTTTCACTACTAAATTCATTAATACAGAGTGAAGCTCGTCTGTATGTCAAACGTTCGCCGTGAACGGCCAGTATATCATAAAACGATTCCAGCTCCCTAGACTATTGAATAATAACTATCAAATAGTGTTCCACCCGAATTTTGTACCAATGTTGAAGGGATCATTTGCACGAATGAATTACTCGGCGCGCGTGCACGCTATCGTCCGCGATCATTTGACTCCCCAATGAGACAAATACATCAATGATATTTCAATCTAGACGGAACAGCCGCTACGCCCCTTTTTCACTCTAGCCCATAAAAAAAACCCGAAGAGATCTGCCAGGATCTCGAAACTCGCGACGCTGACACATCTCGGGCCGGCGTCAGCTGGATTGCTGAGCTTGTACGCGCGAAATGTGTATCAAATGTTTACGTGACGTAAAACGAATCTGTGTATATGTTCATATGCGGAGCGTTTTCGTTTATTTGGGAACGAGTCAACGTTTAACGATGCCTTACCTTGTTGTTATATTTTCGCCTGCAAGAATTGATGAGGTAATATGTTGGCAGGAACACCGATGCTTTTGAGTGCGATCGGTGGTGACCCAGTGCCGCGGTACAACAGCAGCGGCAGACCAACGTGCCGTGAAGATTGATTTGTTCGACGGTGGTCCCGTATAGCCGGCGGCGTTCAAATTTTCGACTGATTCGCGCTAGTCGTGATGGCGGCTACGGTGGCAAGGCAGCGCCGATGCAACGGTTAGTTCACAATATCTATGAGTAGTGATTCAGAGACTGAAGCTGGCACTCACCTCGACATGATTTCGGACCCATTCGGTTTCGTGGCCGACGGCTTCGTCCAGACGATCAAAGCGGACACGCGATAGCTCATGACAGCAGCGACGGCAAGAAAAACGCGAGCAGCAATCTACCCACTCGTATAAGTAACGCCGCTACCAGCACCATCATTCATCGTCAGATTCCTAAAGTAATTCTGGTTTTGCAGAATGCATCGTCGATGTTGTTGTTTTAGAACGCAGCAGCGTCGCATAAGATCTATTGTCACGTCACTTGGTTCGGCCCCAATTCGAAGTTAAGTGGTAATGTCAAAAGCAACAGACAACAAAGTCACCCTCTCTAACGACCTCATAAATACAATGAAAACTCGTAATTAACTATGACGTGCATTGATGCTGCATGTTACCGCTTTTGTCGTCGTCGTCGTCGTCGTCGTAATAATTAATTGATTGTGATAGCGGCAATTTCAGTATGTGATCCGGGATTACGATCAGAATGTCAGACGACATTAACCGTTGTTTCATACAGGCGTAGGTAAATCAATGTACGTAGATCCACTGGTAGACTGCTGACAATCGGCGGTGCTCGTCTGTTTTTTTTTTATCTACAAAAGAAAGTATGCATATACATTTCAACTGGTAATTTGCTAGTTGGGCCAATAGATCACACATCCTTTTTTGGTTCGAATTCAGTGCCTGACTTCTTATAAAAAAATCGTTTGGCCATGGCTTAACAGAACCCGTCGGAAGAATCTGCTGACTACTGTTTTTGAAAAGCTAAAGTCGAATTATGAAAACGATGACCTTCTTTCTTTTTTTTACCTATACACAGTATGTTTGTCCGTTATGTACATTAGTGTAAGACAACGACTGAATTTAATTTTTATGAAAGGGCTCAATAAAAAAAGCTTGTGGCAAAAATAGTTACCAAAAAAGCGTCTTGATACAAGATAACTTCAAAAGACAGACACCCACCCAAATTAATTGTTACCCAAAGATGAACACCAGATTACGTATAAGATTGCTAAACGTTTTTCGATTATTTTTTTCGTATTTTGAATCGTTTTTTGTAGAGGGTCGTGACGATCGGTAGTGTGGCCTTATTCAAATGCCCGTTGCAGCTCCGTCTTGTCTATGTAGCGTGGCTTGTACTCAAAGGCCATCCAATAATAATAGAGTAACACAATGGTGAATATAATTTATCTTAGCTCTGCAATATCAAAAAAATATTTTTTTTTAGACGCATGTTTTTGTGCGTGCGTGTGTTGAAACCTCAATCAGTACTGAGCGAAGCTTGTGTTAATGTAGCGACTTAAAAAAACGGCGCGTATTTAAATAGATAAAGGCTTTTCATGCAGATTTTCAGTCAGGAAGAAAATTAAATCGAGCAAATCGAATACGACCAAATTATGATTTAGCATATTTTTTTTTAGCAAGGCTTACGAACTTCTTAGTGACTTTTTTTAAACTAGTACCGAAGCTAAACAATGTTATCATATATTACTTTTTTTTATTCAATCGGAAGCACTTGATTATAATGACTCGTTCAGTAAAACACACTGAAGATCACGAGCTGATAAAATTTTATTTTGGCGTTACTTGGGTTGATGAATGCACAGACTCGCTTGGCCCATTTCGACAGTTTTCGTATCTTAACACAGAAGGATAGGTCTTCATGAATTGCTATGAAGCTACACTTCTTCTCTAAGAAGACGTGCTTAAGTTTAATCATATTTTGCTCTATTGATGCCGCTCAGAATCACACGCACAGCTTCGTTGATTTTTTGTAGGATATGAAGGAGTTGTGATCTGTAAAATCATCCTATATCTGTAAGATAAAGTAGTCATGTCTGTAGTACCTGCCATAGGACACTATGATGTTTGTTGTAAGAGTCAGGTGTTGTTTGTTTCTTTATTAATCCGCCTTCTAAATAGAATAGATAAGCATTTTTTTCTGGCAATAAAGGGAAAAATAAATCAAATTAATAAAAAGCAAACACCATAAATAGAGGCAGACGCAAAAATATTTCACATCATCAATTGCTAGAGTACGATGGGCACATTTATCAATTCGTTAGTAGCAGATAAACAATAGTAAACATTCTCTTTGTCCACTGAATGTATTAGGTTATTGATATTCCTAATACAAGCAATATCTTTCGGCACTATCAAACCTTCAAATGACTTCGTGTCGAGCTAAACAATCGTGATACGAAACCTGTACATTTATGAACAAGTAATTTCAGGAAGATTTAAAAAAATAATTTTTCCATAATAGCGCCGACATCTTCACGCTCTCAATCCTCGCTTGAACACCTCGGATCATATCAATAGGTTTCTTTGAATATGGCTTCAATATAAATGCTTAAGTTTACTGAACAAACATCCAGCGATCGTAAGGCCTTACGCCTCGGGACTATTAAGCACAACACAACAGAAAATGATTTTTACAGGCATTGAATTTGATTTGACTGGATCTTTGAAAATTATTTGTTCTTTAAGATCTGTGGCCTTACGAAAGCCTAAATGCTTGTTGTATCAACCGTGCCAATCTGTTAGTTCAATCAGTCCGAACCCTGAGCATGTCATTGTTAGCATAGCATATGGAAATTAGATCCTACATGAAAAGATATAATTTAGCTGAGTAACTTATTCAACTATGTGACATACTTGAATAGTCTTTTTAGTCGTTGGCCAATCTAGGATGTCATACTTAGTGAGGAAAATGAAGGCGGTGTTGAGAGCAATGACCTTATGCGAAAGTAAAGATCTGCACTTTTCTTGAGAGTACCCGGAATGGGGCCACAAAGCAACGATTTGAGCTATTATTAACTCTCACTATATACGGCGCTTTAGACGAGTAGAATTGATCGCCCATAATCGTTTTACCATGAACATCTTAATAATTACGGGACCGGCCATGTCTAATTGGAAATTCTGGTCAAAACATTATTAGCTTCACTGTTTGAGGATATCGTCGAACTTTATATTATATTGCTATCAGTAAGTACAGGTAAATTAATGACACCGATCCTATCGGTTGAGCATTTAGCTATTTAACGATCAATAGAATTCCCTTATAGGTTTCATGTCCGCAAACTGCGTTGCTCCTATCAAACGAATTAAGCTAATAGTATTCTCTAACAGCTTTCGTTCTATCAGGGCACCGTGTATGTAACATCGATGTGCTAATTTAGGTTTTTTTTGTAGACGCTGTACGTAGGACGTTGACCAATGATCGAACGCATTTTGTTGTTGGTCGTCTAGTTCGACAAACGGCAAGCACTCACACGTGACTCACACGGTGTGTTAATATTCTCTGCTGCTTTTGTTAAGCCTATTCGCAACTCAACTAGTTAAACTTAGTCGTATTGTACATTGGAATACGCTTATTGGCATAAGGACTAAACGTGAGAGTGACCTCGCTCGCAGCTCGCTTAAGTTGACCTTGACCTTTCTTTTGCCTCCGGTGATCCGCTGCCCAGATATTTTAGTCAATTTAGTTCATCGATGGCACCGGCATGCTTCTTCTGCAATTGTTTTCCACCGCACTCATCATCGCCGTGAATAAGTGGATGCTTTTAACGCTTTCTGTCTCCACGCTATGAACGCTATTCTGCAGAATGATGATGGGGAAAGAGATCGAACGGGTGAGGTGACCAGCAAAACTTCTTCAGTTTAAAATGTAGTTGCGAATTTTACTATACAGACTCATATTTTTACTACAACAGGATAAAATGCTGTCTAGTTCACAGTGAATATTGTTTGCTCATGAAGCTCTATTAAGAGTTGAATAACGAATCGGTGAGAAAAAAGGATAACGTTATGAATAACAAACGATGTAGAGATTGTAAATTAATGTATGTGTTTGAATGTTTTTTCTGCTCAGGTCTGATTTTGTATGCGTGCTTAATTGCGAACACGACCGAGCTTTCGACAAACCACGTGCATTAAACTCGCCTCAAGTTTTCTGCCCCCTCGGACTCGATGTTCAGTGCGTGTAGAAGTTACTCGGCGACGTGGATCGTGAAATCACATATGAGTTGAAAAATTTTCTACAGTAGCCAAGTGGTCCGAACTGTATATAGAACGTGTGTCAGAACTAGTTACAAGTTCGGAAGGTCTATTTTGAACAGATACCTGGATATCGGATATTATGCACTCGGCGGAAAGGTGTGTTGATTTTAAAATGTTTCAAGGCAATGACTAAAATGTCGATGCACTTAATAGACCCATCTCTTCGTTAAATTTCAAGAGTGTCTGATGGGGTGCTCGGCTGGAAGTGAGAGTCCAAATCTGCCCATACAGATAACAGAGAGGATTTTTTCTACGCTGGGTTATTGCGCATGCGCGATTAGAAACATGGCGGTAATTTCAAAGTAAAACGAAACCGAGGTAGTGTAAGTGCGGTATCTAACTAGTATAAGCGGTGTCATAATCCGGAAGCCTATAACAAAGGTCCTCCAAGTCCAGATAAATCTGTGTCAAAATAAATAAAATTTAATTTTAGTAAATTTTTATTAAATTAACTTACTAGCTAATATATTGAGGCTCCTGCTAATAATTATCATGATGATAATTATTATTATGATGAAATTAATAATTGCTGGTCCTAAAAAGCTTTGTAAGTGTTTAGAAAAATTCTAGTGCACTTTTCTTTATTGACAGCCATTTCTAAACGTGCCATTGCATCGCGGTTATGCCATTCTAACATTAGACAAAGAATATGGGCTTTTCAGATAAGTACACTTGAACAAATTAGAACATTAAATAGGAACATGATTGGCCCAACAGGAATCACGATTTATGCATCACTTATTAACTAAATAGCTTTTAACTTAGTTTCGAACATAGCATTTGCATTCGATGTATACCTCGACCTAATAAATACCATTCATTCGGACTAGTAGTATAAATGAAGGGTATTCAGATAATATTACAGTTATTATGTTCGGGACTCCTTCTGATAGTAATCATAAAATACTGCGTTTATCCCTGAATTGGAAAAAGCACATTCATAGGTGTACATATATATGGTCCTACAGTAGAGGCGTGCGATTGTTGTTTCTGAGGTCAGAACCATATTACCGGGTAAAAAAACAGCGGCCAGCCATTACTATATTACAAACCCAATGTTTATTTATTTATTTTTGCCTCAGGCTTTTCACTCAAAGTCGGCATGTCAAGGCCGAGCGCACTAAACACATACATCGTCGAGTTTATAAACAACAGAGGCCAAGCATGTGCTGACTGAACCCTTTGAGCCGCTGCTATGACGTTACAAACTGAGCACTCGGTAAACTTTTGTAATAATCAGTGATTCATCACCGTTAATGAATCACTACAATGGCAACGAGTAGTTTACGCCTGAATTTAACCACGCCGCACAAACAGACTAGACGTGTCTATAGCATAATATGTGAACTGTCATCTATGACCAACAAACAGTTCCCCAACAATAAACATAACATATATTATGGCCACGCAGAAGTCCCAGAAAGTGTCTTCCATTATACCTTCGCATTTTTGGCCAAATACTACCACGAGTTCGTAAACACTTGGATCATTTTAATGTTATGCAAAGATACGCAAATTATATATATATATATCACATCGGAATAGACGGTAGTCGGAAGTCGTCAATTGTGTCATTGGAGGAAGGTTTTCTCATCCCATATTATTCAAGTTTATTGTAACAATGGCAAAGCCATTCGGCCCTGTCTACTCATGTTATTATTACCTTTTGTAGCGTAGTTCTCCTAATATATGTTATACATACACTATGTGTATATATGTCTATACAGCAGCGGGGTTCAATAAGCGGGTTCAGTCAGAGCGGCGTTGCTGGCTAGAACAATGATAATTCTGTTTCAACGATTGTTCACTAGTATCTGTTGTTATCATTGTCACGGTTGTTGTCTGAAAACAATGCCTAAACGATTCACAGCGATGTATGATCCCCTGCTCATAAGGAGCGGAACGCGTAGTTCTCTATATCATCAGCAGTTCATCGACGATATAAATCTTAATAATATTATTACGCAGAGCTGTTGTCGATAGATGGTCAGGATGTGTATTTTAGAAATTCCGGTTCGAGCAATGATGACGACAGCAGCAGTTCCGCTTGACGGGATGCGCTGCCTGCTTTTGTCGCTCTCATCACTATCATTATATAATAATCATAGTAATAATTGAGAGAGTAGAATTTTCGTAATAAATTAATAAGCAACCAGGACGATTATGTAGGCGTCGGAACGCCTGACTAAATGGCAGTAAGGATCGTTGTTTGCTGGGAGACGGTCTGTGATGAATATGGACGTAGTAGCAGTAGTAGCAGCAATAATGGAAACTCCAAAGAAACCGTATTACGAATTCTACGAGTTTCCATTATTGCTGCGAGTTTTGGTGAATCTTCAATTGAAAGTGTGAATTTTTTAGATGTTATGTGTGTTGAGGGGTTAATGAATAAATACTATTTACGAACGTCGAGCCTCATTCCCAGATATTTGTCGCCATGTTCATATTCTGGACCTTAATTTTTAACAGCACTCGCACCTGCTAAATAAATCTTCACTTTTGTCTACCGCTGGTCCTGCATGAGTACTTCCTCTCTTAGCATAACTACTTGGACGACTATACCCATCGGTGTGACCATATATTACTAAATGTCGTTGTTTATTGCTTCTCCCGCGTAAAATCATCTGAACGGAGTCATCGCTTTAATAACGTTATTATGGATTATTGGTTATTGAATATTGCTGGTAATAATATAAGGGATATTGGTAGGCTGAAGATTTTTTCAAAGGGTAGACTTCCGATATTCAACCTTAAGCAGATGGCCTTTTCTAGGCGACACGTTGATTTTTTCTAAAAGATTAAAAATGGAAGGTTGTTTATTTTGATTAGGCTCTATAAAATAGGCATAATATGTGGGAGGTTATGGAGGTTCTGGAATAAGGAGTTCCTCACAAATTCGCCATTTGATTTTTGTGAAAACGTTCGAGAACTTGTGAAGTATATATTGGAAAGTTTGAAAACATTTACTTTAGGAGAGCTATAGACATAACAGGGTATCGGCTTACTAAAACGTTTCAACGAGAGCGCGCGAGCTTACTTTCAAGGATATAAAAGGATGCTAGCAATTTAATAGCCAGCGCCTGGACTGTAAGTAACTTTTGGTTAAGCAAGGTTTTAACGACAAATGGACGTAGCGCTAATAGCCGACAGTGTATTTATATATAAAGGTGCAATAAAATTATCTTGGTTCCATGCTGGCAATTCTAATGTTGAAGTCAGGAACTTTTTCAGATATAGGCAATGTGGTATAGGATTCATTGCAATAAAAGAATGAAGCAATTAGGAAGATCAGGCTAACGATAGCAAAGCGGCCGTTGGGACGTTCCAAAGGAAGGAGAACGGGATTCCTATAATAGACTACGTCACCAATAAGCAGGAGAGAATTTCAGGCAACAGAAGAGCGGGATTCTTAAAGTAAGATAATAGATTAACTAAATAGGCGGGTAGAATTGCTAGGAACAGAAATTTGCAACAGAACACCATAGCCAAAACGACCTGGTTTTAAAAGAATGGAAACCAGGTAATTCGTAACTATTACAGCCGGCTGATGTAATAGTTGCGTTGGGACAACAGAACTACTGGACGATCCCAATGGAGTCACTGCTTTTTCGGGTCTTGTGTACGTTGCTTAAGCCGTTAAGCATTACGTTGGACAGGTGGCTTTCAGCATGCAAGAAAGCGTGTTTATGCTCGGACACGGACCCACACCAGCCTGTTTTTCTAGGTTTAAAGGCAAACATGTTATCCACTGTGCCATCACGGAAGCTAATGGAGCAACTGCAAGCAAATAACATAATAGATAAGACAAGATAATTGCCATCGGACCATTAGCTTTAGTGTGTACCAAAGCTATAGTTTAAGATATATGAAGTAGTAATATAGTGACAGCCAAGGAAGCGTGGAATAAAGCCCGAGGATCTGTTTAGCAATAACTAACGTACTCAAAGTCTGATGAGCGTATTATTTATGATTATTACATACCTGCTAATAAAGTAATCCGAATAAATACTGTCACAGTGTATGATTTTTTACGAATCTAACCTAGACGAATCCATGTCGTTTCCTTTCCTAGATCAGGATTCTGTCTATAATTGATCTTCTTCCCTTTGCGGTCTTCCGACCGTTGGCTACCCTATCAAATGACTACTTCTACAGTTGGTTTTGATCATTTGCGTAGCAAAGTATCACTCATGTATGTCCTGTTGGCAGTCATTGACGCTCTTTGTTCTTACCCTACACAGCTAAAATATAAAATTCTAATATTATTATATTATAATTATAAACTACTTTTGAATATCAGCAAACACTCGCTATAGAAGCTTTGCGCAAGGAAAATGATAAAAGCACTTCAATGAGTATTAGTCTCATGTAACAAGCATTTCTTCATACCTTTACTAAGTATATCTTTCGGATGAATTATGCAGTTACGTGCACTTTCCACTGCGCCTGCTTTCTATCCTATTCAGATATTTTGCCCATGACATTTTTTACCAAGCATAGCGAGAAAGAATACGGTTCTTTGCTATTCTCCTTTTCAATAGCAGTACTGCAGGAATCGGCAAACCCTAGGGGAAAAAATGAGATCCTGTATCGTTTCCTCTTTGACGACGACGACGACGACGACGAGTTCCATCATGGAAGCCAGGCCCCGACCATTCATCGAAGCAACATAATAAAGCGTTCATTTACTTTCCCTACCTCAGGCTAGACTTAGTCAATAGCTCTCGGACACTAACGGTCCCGTATGTCTACGAGCCTCTAGAAGTAGTTATACTGGTTGATTATAATTTAACTCTATAGCGCGCTATCGTGATCCGGCTTGACTACACCTACTATACACACTTTTTTGTTGACAAGAAAATCCTTTCAAATAGTTACTTATTTTCTTTCTTTCTTTCATTGCTTCGAAGTTAAACTTCAGCACATTTTCCTTTAACTGTTCAGGCAACGGTTCCATCACTATCGGCAATGGCATCATTCCGGCACCATCGGATCCTAGTTTTCCTGTCCGTTGACATTCGTTGTCCGTTCATTGAATACAGCCATGAAATTTTGTTTCAACGTAAACCTCGAACGGTGGCAAAATATGCCGCTTGCTAGCTGATCAATCAGCCAAGCAGGCGGCCATAGCAGCTACCATTCATTTATTCGTTCTTTCTTTCGCCGTTGACTTTCTTCGTCTCTTCATATTAGCTTTGGATCATATTTTGGCTGCGTAGTCCCTCCAACAGAACTCCGCCTTCACTCGAACATTGCAGTGCCATCGCCCAACAACCCTAGCCGTTTATTTGTTCGTGATGCTCTTTGCAACACGGCGTCGGCGAAGCTAGTGACGCAAACGACGATGAAGTAAGCGCCAAGACACAAGAGGCCGCCTCCACTGTGGTTGTGTGATGCGACGCCTCCGGAGTGGATCGGAGACGGTTTAGTCAGCCATCACTATTATACAATGGCAGATCCTGTGTCTCCATTTTATCGGTGGTCGCGCGTTTTAAATTCGTCCATTGGCCCACCTACTAGGTACTGGTCACTCAGCTGGGCTGACGAAAGCCACTTGCTTTATTGGCTCGCTAACTGCGACGAGTGTTCTGCACGAAGACCGCACGAAAGGGTCATTGTAACCTTAGTAAAAGTGATGTTAATGATGGTGATGATCCCGATGACGATAACGTTTCGACAATTAGGCGGTTTTTTTTGTCCTGACACTTAACTTTCTTTCTATAGAAGTCTGATTGATCTGGTTAGTCGAGGTTGGAAGAAATAGGCCTCTCTAGTGTAAAGATATCTTAAAACTTGCGTCCGAACCATATCCAAAGCGCACGGTTGACAATCTATATGAACCTGCATGAAATAAAAATCTTGTAGACTTTGCGTCGTAAATTTTGAAGAACTATGACAAGCGAAGCTTGCCACGGACGTAGCTTTAGTTCAGTTGAATTAATATAATAATAAATTTAAGTCTTCGATAAATTCTAGAAATAGCATGCAAATATAATGTAACAAATCTGCATACGATGCTTAATGCCGATCCAATTTATTAGTATTTGAATTATGCTGTAAGCATGTCAATTCAGTGGTCTCCACGGTTAACCCTACAGATTTGGATCTTGCAACATTTCTCGGATGGATGCACACATATCGTCTTAATCGTCTTGTTATTCTCTTGAGTTATTATTGAGATGAAGTAACATCCCATTTAGGGTTTCGTTATTTGCTGTTGTTTCCTTATACGTCCAAGTTGACATTACGTACGCCATGTGCGGGCAGTGGCCATCGTGCCGTCATTTAATGCATAACTTCTCCGAGCTATTAAGCACTTCTTCAGACTGCAACACCGTACGTTTAACCGATCAGTGGCAAAAGCTTTTGCCTCGTTGGATTCCGCTGCTTTCAGTCTGGTATCTGGGTGTCTATCTGTTCGCCAAGGACCAACAAAACTCTGCTGATCTTGTCAAGCAACAGCGGCTCGTTTCACTCTTGCCTGATCTCTGAATAGAGATTGCAGAGGCAGACCATACTAGTTACATGGCGCAGACACGACGGTCGCGGCAGAGGCAAATGTGGATCGCGTCTTGCTGCCGATATGAGCACGAAACTCCGATATAGTACTACGAAACATGTACTCATGCGTTTGGCCGAAACGAAGAACCAAAGTGTCCGGCAAATCAGCCGGCAGCCTGTCGGCCTGGTCGACCAATCGGTCATCCAGCGCCACGGACACAACGGTTCCGGATGTCGTTGCTGTTATTGTTCCTGTTACTGGAACTTTTTCGTCGAGAGCGAACGACGATCCAAGTGTCGGGCGCTATTTTGGCGGGAAGATTCAAATGAAGATGATTTCACGCTTTCATTGTATTGTGTATGGTAGGGTGCAACACAAGTCGTAACCATCGCTATCATCGTCACGAATGTTTGCCTGTATCAGCTCTTCGTTGCGGCCATTTACTTGGTTGACATGGTGTCGCCCACGCTGCTCGTATACTTCCAGTCCCGCTCCTCCCTTTTGGGTGAAACGAGGACGTACTGCTAGTGTTCTTATTCATCTCTTCTATTTTTTTCGTTCATGCGAAGAAGATTATTGACGGTAAGGCAGTGGTGGCAAACTACAATGAGTTTTGTATACCGTCTACAGAGAGCCGTTGGTAGAGGTTGGCAGGACATGCAGTGAATACACAGGTGAAAACAACGGTTGGGAGGTTATACATTTAGGCATGTATCAACCGGTATAAACAAAGCGAACGATGTAGTAGATAAAAATATTCGGCAAGATAAGCGTTACGATAAGCCGTAGTTTGCGTCACGGTAGGCTATGAGGAAAACCAAATTGCTGGCGCATTTCAAGATTTACTAGACACAACTAACTTCGAAATTTAAGTCTTATCTTGTTTACCAGAACGAATCCAATGGTCGTGTCGGAAGAATAAGCTATAGAGAACTGCTAGCAAACAACCAAAGAGTTTAAGCTTCAAGAGATTTTAACCTGTCTTTAGGTAAATAACACGCTAAACAAATGTAAAAAATATTTACACATGTTTAGAATGTGGACATGGGCAAATACCTAGCTCCACTGCCCAGGCCTATTCACCCAAATGTGCGAATTCTTCCGGCTTATGCCGACTTTTCGCGAAGTAGAATCTTTCAGATAACGAATTAGTTAGTCAAGTGTTGAAGGTTACAGCTTGACCACTGCCCAGCCCTGTTGAATAAAGCGATGTCCTTGTCGCTTGAATAGTTGGGATATGGTTGCTTTTGAGCTTGAGGCAAGACTCTCTTGTGATCTAATTCATAATAGGGCGTTCGCGTGAGTGCGTAATTGTAACGTGGGATAGCGGCCATTCGTTTCATTCTTTATTGTAAATTCTATGCTAGTTTGTGAGCCCGCCGACAAAATGGCATCTCTGAATAAGAGCGACGTGATTCGTCTGATCCTTGAGTATCGGAAATCTAAACCCAAGCTAACACTCACTGATGATTATGCAAAAGGCAAGAATTTCAACTAAGATAGGAACTGGAGAAATACTTCGATGGGGGGGGTCTGTAATAGAAATATGGTATATTAGGACATAAATTGGATCCGCAAGGGTGCGTATAAATTGAAACTACGTTTTTATTTATAAACTTCTTTAGTTAACCATAGCTTCCTTTAGTTAACGTTTGGTTGAAACCTATGGTTCTTTTGATAAGCAAATAAGATGGAATGTTGTTACATTAAATCTTCTATGCAAATAAAAAGCTAATTGGTTCTTTCGTCGGTAAAAACTTAATTTACCCATGATTATAGGGGCCGTCAACCACTGCTTTCCTTCGATTAACCACTAATTATTCGACAGTTGTGCTTAAGGCTCATCTTAGATATGTGTTTATTACTACGCTACTATGCCTATACCAACGATTCTCTGTAAAGCAGTGTTTTTCCACTGATCATAATAAAACCGATTAAATACTCATTTCAGGACAGCCTCTATCATCCAACCAGTCCTGGAATAATGCTTTACACAGTAAGCACGCGTATGGGTATGTAAACGTTTCGTATATTTTATTTCAAAATTCTCTTTTATCCTTTCAATATACAGACGGGTTTTATAATCCGAGCAGGACGCCTCTGTCTTGTATTGTAGGACAGCCTCTCAATGTCCGGGACAGCATGGCCAATACGCATCCGTTTGAATGCGATGACCATACCCAAAAGGCATGTTGCCAAACTGGTTCAAGTGTCAGCGTTGGCAAAAATTGTTACCGACTAATAAGGGTTGGGAAAAGCAAATATGAAGAAAGAATAGCAAATAAAGCCAGATAAGGTGTCGTCATTAAGGTTAATATCTGCTTGTGTCGTTGGCACGCCGTTTCATAAATGTGTTTAGGTGCACGTGTTTAATGCTATACCTAAAAATAGGTGATAGTTTCTTCACATAGGATGGATAACTTTAACATCAAAAATGCATAAGGAAAGATTTTCTATATAAACTCATTAAACTTGTGAGAAGCTCACGGGCTCAGAGAGTAGCGTGTGGGCTGAGGATCATATAATGCTAGATTCATTCAGATAATGAAATTAAAGCATGTCTAATGGGTGTGTCGGTATATTAATGCAAACGCTTCCCAATAGGCGTTGATATAGCTCTCAGATAATGTGTTCCATCTTTATATAAGAAAGGCGATCCTTAAGCTTTGATATAACATTCTTACCGACGCGATCGCCTTCCGTAGTATATTGAACAGCTTAATGGCCGTTCGCCGACGATCGAAAGCAAGATTTGGATGAAAGGAAGTGGAATTCTTGTAAGAAAAACAAATCACATGTTGTTGTTGTTATTAAGTCGATAACACCAGTAGTTTAGACTCAGCTCGGTGGTGCAGCTGCTTCTGTTCCCACACCGAGAGCGGCGTTCGCCGACAATATATACTATCGATCTACGTATCTACTGCGACGAATCACCTATCCGCAATGCACAGACGATACCTTCTGCTATCGTGTTGTCTCGTGCGCGAACAACATTATAATCATAGCCGTCACATGGGGCAAGGGGAGCTTACATTGTCGTCATTGCGCGTCTGCCCGATTTTGTCAAGTACGCCATAGCGTCAACGCTTACAAGTGATACAATTACAGCTGCCACTTCAGCCTGTTCTACTTGCTCAGTCTTCGCGGAGTCAGCGCTTTGCAATGAACGCTTAGTTAGTAAATGATGATGAGGCCTTGTTTCTCTCAGATCTCGCCGATGAGTCGCCAGAGACGTGAGCATGAATCATTTGATCCAGCGCGCGGCCTAATAAGAAACTCGCAATTCAGTCAATAATGGTGTCCAATGATGATGGCCACCGTGGACCGCGGTTAAAGAATACCACCAGTAGCTATGGCAACGCTGGCATTGGCTGGTTTCGTTCCAAAAGGAAAGTGAAGGCATTGCGCCTCCTTTCCCTACTTCGTCAGCGGAAAGCCCTTCGTGTTATCGCAGAACGCTCAGCCAAGCAAAGTCAAGCAGGCAGATCAGCTGTTTGAACCGACGACGGGACTCCGACCTTCGTCTGGATACAGACAGCGCGCGACGTGCCAATAGACGCATGTGGCCCGCCAACGAAATTGGCGTAACCCGGTAAAAGCCAAATGAAAACGATGGTTGAAGTGAGTCGTAAATAAACAGTGCTCGCAGTTAATAAAGTCAGTCTTCGGGTCGTTACTGTTACCCATAAAAGGTATAGTTTAGCAAAGGAAGAGGAAAAGGGTTTTTCTCATTGCTGATATCAGTCACTGTTTGTCCATACTTCCTGGGCTTCGTTCTTCACTTTACGAAGGACAAGGTGCACATTTAAAGCATGACTAGCGTCGTCGAGGGGTCTGCGCGAATCTCTGAGTTTTGTGAATCCAGGATAATGGGTTCAAAATCGAAGCTTCTCTCTGCATCTTCTTGAGTGGAATTACATTAATGGTGGAATAGCAACTGCTGATGAAGTATATGTTCAGAACTTCTCATCTCACGCGGTGCAGTTGTGAATATTTCTTCTTCTTATAGAAACAAAAGTACGTTTTGAGTGTGTTCTGACCGGTCATCGGTGTTCGAATCCGGCGGGCGTAGACGGTAAAACGGGCATGGTCATTTTTATGCGTTCAATACGGTGGAATGATATTGTGGTGTTGGCTTTGGATTGATAGTTTCAGGATTATTATTCAGTGCATTCAGTGCCTATACAGAAGAAGCTGCCTTACGCCAGAGTAAATATCAACTTACTGACGACGGTGTCCTTGTATTATTCCAATATGTTTGCCGTTTAAGATTTTCTTTGCAACAAGTGCTTTTATGGACTATAGAGTGGACTGATATTCAAGGATATACCGATGCCGAACTCAGCGGTCCGATGCAGCCGATAGTCAAGGGGCCGTCTCCTCCGTTCATAAATCAAGGTATGAAGCGAAAGATTGTTTTAGACTATTAGTAAAAGTCGCTAGGGAAGGTAAAGTGCCGATATGACCCCGGTTACAACAACGACGCCAGAGCATGCCTATTTTACAATACGCCACCTACAAAGGGAAATAGACCACGGTTCGCGAGTTGAGATTCTTTTCAGCTTATTATTTCAAAATCGGCGTCCTGCAAATTAAAAAAAAATTTATTTTTTTGTGTCTGCGTTCAGTGCCACGTTTGCAAAGTCGACAAATATTTAATGAAAGGACTGAAAGAAGTGTGAGTGGGCAGTGTCAGAACAAGCGGTCGGAGGATCTTCACTGTTCATTATCACCAATCATCACTTTTCGATCTGATCTTCTTGAGTTCTTCCTTCATTGATGCTTTACGTGACATATTTATTATATATGTCAGTGTTTTTTTTTGTATCAGCAATCTGTGTCACCGCAGTAACAACGTGTGTCTTTAGCGTTGTGTGGTTCGAGCCGGAGTATGCCGCCCTACGAACGTTTGCCTCTGTATTCATTCCATGCTGCTAAAATCTATATAGATTCATATGCTACCTTCAACGAGTGCTTAATTTTTTTTAGCGAATACACAGGATTGCACAAAATGGAGCTCGGCGACGACATTTCAACAATAACTGGCAGAAAGTTTTTGCAGAAACACAATCTGCAAAAACGTTTTACGAGAAGGAAGACATTTTTCGTTCACATGAATGGACTGGCTATGGTTTTAAATGCATTTCTAAAGCTTCCCTGTTTTCAGGCTGGTGTTTCCCTATTGACGGACATTAGACTTGTGCACAATATATAATATCCGTTTAGCTCAATTGGGCTCGAGTAAGGTATTCTTCGTAAACAAAAGGTCTGTTTGGCAACTCAGTCGCTCGATATCACAAAAAAAATCCGTTGGATATAGTTTTTGCCTGGTTCTTGCCCCTTTGTCCCAATGCGTCATTCGAGACTGTCATCATTGGACAACATAAGGGTAACATCCTTAGAAGTTGGTTCTTAGGTCATTTTTTTAGATTCGACTATAGTGGATTCGAAGTAACGCATCTTCAAATGTCTATTGTCTGACAACATTGAGCACGTGGTCTAATCTCTGATTTGGTCATGAAGAGTTTTTAGTTTTGTTGAACAGGTGCAGGCGCAGGTAGCGGAAAAGGACTAGCGAGATTACTAGCACCAAGAGCAATCGTTCCGGTTCAGAGGCCATGTCGGGTTCTCCCAATGACAAATTCGTTAAGATCTGTCATAACAGATTTGTTTTGAATGACCTACAATTTTTGATTTTTCACATGACAAACGCCATTTGAGAGGTAAAAGTACAGCTGCATGTTACCTAGAACGTGACCGAAACGTTTCGATTTTTTCAGCGAAGGAGCTTAGGAGCGAGTGTGTGACATGTAAAAGTCTGCAACAAACGCCCAGCCCTGTTCTAGAAAAACTAGATGAATCCTCGTAGAGTTATACGTATCTTCACGGTACAGCAAAGGAAAGAACATCTGGAGTCGAGAAGCAAAAGATATTATAAAAATAGGGCATCTTAAATATTAAATTCATTCTGGTAAACTGTTGAAGCTTTATCGATATGTTTTCATGGGTTTTTGCGCTATCGACAACTGCCAATGTTCGTTCTGAATACAGGCGCGAATGCTTTGCCTGTTACTGTTAATAATAATAACAATAATGATGATGTTTATAATAACATTGAAATGCAGTAATCGCTTCTGTGTATTTTCGTTACATACAATCTACTGCTCCTGTTGGCTTGTAATAGACGTGTATTTGTTTTGCGAACTTCTGAATCTGTCTTAAATTTATATGGATGGCTATAGAAACATCTTTTTTTTTTGTGTTCTGAGTTTTACAGTCTGGTATCGTCGTTAGGCATTCCATCCGATGGTTAGTTCCCACGAGGAAAGCAAATGTCTATGCCCGGATTTGAACCTAGACTGTGCTAAGATTTGCATGCCGCTACGTTACCCACTAAACTACCATGGGGACCATAGAGACCCTCCGTACTGTTGAAATACGTCATTGAGGAACGCCATGCTGTTCAGATTCTGCTTTAAACCTACGCTCAAAAAAAACAGATAGATAGATATGTATATATAGCTACCTAACAAAAATACTATGTGTATCACTGAACTGAACGCAGTGCATCAATCATTGTGAAGTGTTTTTTACTAGTTGTTTTGAAAGTGTCCAATAAAATATAGCCATTGTCAGAATTCAGAGGCCATCCATTGTTTTGCAGAATCATTTTCGAATTGAGATCTACAACGTGGATGTCCTACTTACTGCTCAACTTCAGACGCACTGTAGTGTTTAAATAGTTCAAGTGAATGTTATCGAAGGCTCTCAAAAATGCCAAAGTGGTAATTGAAACCTCTGAATGAGCTAGATAAAAATTAAGCTGACTTCTAAAGGCATAGATTTTGATTGTATCGTATGATATGATACAAGAATTAAAATCTAGAAAAAGTTTAAATCATTCCTCATTGTAGACAAACAATTATAGCAAACAATAATCTAACTAAAAATAGACCTAGATAAGTCTAAAAGTGGTTTTTATACATGGTAATTTTTTTAATTTTATTATGGCAGCATAAGTGCGTTTTGTTAGTCTCCAAAAAGTAACGACTGAAGCTAGAAAAAAATAAATCTTCAAAGAGCTAAACGAGAGACCTATCGCGCAACGAGTAGCCTCTAACTATTGTTCATCCGTTCTAGCGAGTCCAGTATACCATCAACAGTACACAATATACCTTCCGTGTGAAATATTTGCGGCCAATACGATGGAGCCTTTAATCGACAAAAAGCATTATACGTGAAGAGCATTGTACAGTATTGTTCGGCTGCTAATTACCAAGATTAAGTTGAGTAAAAGCTTTTGCTTCTGTGCACTGGCTAGGTCTAATGAAGGTTGTATTTATTCGAAGAAAACCTTGGAAGACAGGCCTGAAACTTTGCTGACCAACTATTCGATCGCATCTAATAAGTAATTTGTATATCATATGATTGCACTTTCGCATATTCATCTGTGGGTTTGATTGGCGTCTTGTTGAGGTGAAGCGTTAGTCATAAGTGTTATAAGAATCTACTTATATAAAACTAATTGCTATTTATAATTACGTAAGGTTTCTCTTCCCACTGAAATTACATAGGCCAACGAGAAAAATCGCCTTAGGCCTTTTCTCTAGAAATACAATGCGTGCAGTGCTTCTAGCTCGAGATCAGTTGACTAAGTCAGATTTCTATATGTTGCTATCTTGGTTTGAATTGTAATATCAGGTTGATCGGAATTATAATAATAAATTATACGTACTTCACTTTAGTACATTCTAATGTCTCAAGCGTTAGGCCTGACTAGGATCATCTTTATTTCAAACTGGGCGTGTAAAGAATCCATTATATGTATAAACAAGGCGGCATAAAGCCCCCAATAAGGCCGCAAGACGAATAATCAAATACATTCACGAAAACATGTTGCAGGCCGTGATCTAACAGGGCAGCAGTTGTTTCACTGGTGCATCCACACAGAAGCTTCTTATTTAGACACAACTGTAAAAAAACATTTTGAATGGCCTCTATTTACTGAAGGAATGTTTCCCTCCTCGTCACATAACAATGGATACGTATATTTAACCATCCATACATGTACAAATAGCCATGTATTTATGGACGGATACTGTGGCGTAAAGGGGCGTGTTTCAAATTCTGCCAAAGGAATCATTCAAATAGTCCCTTTAGCAGTTTGCTATTTCTTGAGCTCTTGAAGAACGCATGAAAAACGAAGAAAAAATCAAAAACAATCAGAGAGACAAAGAAAGAAATTCCTCAGAAGCGAATTCTGCAGCCAGTTGGGCGCTGTCTTGTTTTTTGCCTAGCGTTGACATCGTTATCCGCCGCTCAGCTCGCATCAGCTGTTCGACCACATCGAACCGTGTGATCATCTATTCTTCATCTTAGGCCGCTTTTACCGCTGCTGCCATCGTTTTCGATGCGGCATTAGCGATTCCACAGGAACTAGAAAAAAAAAAACGAAGTGAAAATGCTTTTGCAGCGCCGGAACGCTCTGCGGGAGGATTTTGATTTTAGCGGATATCACAGAGAGAGAAGAGGAGGGCCCGCGACAATTCAAATCACATAAAATAACCAACATTATTCAACAACAAGATACCAAGTACAAACACAATAATGGCAAAAGCTCTAGCATCAATGTTCAGAATCTACAGCTATAGCCGTGACAACTACACCGATAACAGCGTTATGCCAAAATTTGTTAACACGATTTCCACGACTGTACGGCCAAGTTATAGGGTCTCCGCCTCACGTTGACAACAACGTATTTGATGCGTAATAATAATCGTACATTATTAATACATTATTAAATCGGTGCTCCTTGTAGCAACATTAAGTTTTGTGTCAGTCTTCCATTCTTTATTCCTCGGCGGTCACCTTGTCGGTCCCGTTTTGATCGGGGCGTCTGATAAGTACCGGATGGGCCATCAGACCTACGTATGAAGCCATGGATGTCGATTTGATGGATAGTGTAATCTTTATTTTTTTTGACAGAAATTTTCTACCGCCCGTTCGCCTTTAGCCATAACGAATACTTATCGTATGTATTTAGATTAGATTTCGTCATAATGAAGCCGTGGTTGCCCATATACAAGCCACAGTTTTCGCGGTTGGCCTATATGGTGGTTCAACCCCATGTTACTTTGACCGCTGTTGCCAGCTGGTCGGTGCAAAAATTCTTTATTTTTAGCCTAAGAAATATGTTTTATGTTGATATATCTTTAACGGAATTTAGGTCTTTTCGTCTACGTCGACGGAGCACCACCAGAACGGAATCCATTCCATAGGGGTTAAGTGTGAGGCCTAGCATAACTCGGCCCGGCGATTAGACTCATTCCCGCCGAGACCGCTACTCACTGATTCTCAGTTCCTTTTTCATTCCGCGTAACTTTTCCAACCCGGATCTTCATTTAAAAGTATTACGGATTGGTGAGAAGGAGTGGGCGGTGTTTGCCGAGTCAATCGGTTGGGGTGATCTGTCGAGTTCCATACCTGACCAGACAAGCTGTGTTCTATACGAAAATTGATTCTCTGCGTTTCCTGTGAATACGACAATAAGTAAATCAACGTCAGTTTTAGTGTAATTGTACGAAATTCAGTCATCAGATATACGTATGGCTGTGATTTTTTTTCTTCTGAATAACGTAAAGCTTCGAGCCAGAGAAAATGACGTTTTCTTAGGTAATGTGTTGATTTCATTAGGTCTAGTCGGTGTTTCAGTTCGGTAAGGGTGGACCTTGAAACCTTTATATGTTTAAAAAATATATATAGTGACCTCGATATTTAAAATAAAAACATTTTTCCACACTAATACACATGGTGACATATATTAGCAATAGGTTCGTTTGTAAACTCGATTTCGAATTCTTAGATGGGTAAAAGTTATTTGAGATGGAACCGTTCGTAGAGTAGGAAATAAAATCACCTGAATACGTCCTAAAATAGACGATAACGAAGGCTTTCTTATATAAAGTATAAATTAGCAAAAAAAGTAACAGTCAAGCCTTCATTGGCAGGTACAGTTATAACAATATGGTTGTTCAAATTGATGCAATGATTATATAAAAAAAGATACCAAAAAAAAACAGCTCTACGATGCATCCGCTCCTTATCGTGATCGCGCTTATTCTTTCTACTTCTTCAATGAAAAGGGGAAAATTCAAACCAGATCTGATTTTTTAATTTAGTGAGTTGAAATGGTTCCCTGTGTGAATACGTCTTCGAAATCGAAAGGTGTAACACTAAGAAAGGTTGCCTCCATTAGAAATCTAGTTGAGGTGAGTCTTCTGGGCTTCTCTGGAGTTGCTGCAATAAACCTGTGAAGCGGTATAGTAACATCTTTACTTTCCCGTTAGTCATTTGTTGTAATCGTTGTTGCCAACAATTTGAAACAGTATTGCAGCATGCTTCTGGTTACCCTAGCGAAGCGCTTGAAAAGATATGTAGGAGCTATGCGATCTGCCCCGTATAGTCTTCAGGTGAATATACCGAAAATCGCTTGTTCAGGTTTTGCAGTGACGTAGTTAGAAAGGTAATTACGAAGAGTTCAATATTTGACAAGAACCATTAGTGGGATATATATCATTGTTACAGAATGACGTAGGCAATCAAATTAAGCTGCGCTTTGATTTTACAAATAAAGGTGCCTTTTCTGGAAGATTGCTTTGTCCGAATTTAAAAGGCAGGAGCTGGTGCGCGAAAAGCACGTGTTTCCAATTCCGATTTTAAATCAGAAGCTCCCCTTCATTTGTTGGCGAGGTTTATCTCAAATGATATATGGACCCGTAAATCAAAATGGCTGAACCGCTAGATGCGGAGAAAGAAAGATTTGCCACCGGAGATAACTGGCAACGTCTCACATTGGTAACTGTAGTGGTTGAAACCCTTCCGCGTCCTGCGTTGCGAGCTAATGGTGCTTTCTTAATGTACGACCCTAACCAACTTCAACGGATTAGACTTCATTAGTTTACTGTAGAAGTAGTGAAAACAATGCATGTACGCAGAATCTGGTTTTGAAGGCGCAGTCGTGTGTTAGCTTACGATCACGGTAATATTATCACCATGATCAGAATATCAGATCGCTTACAAAGTTTCTTTTTATTGGAGTAGACGCAAAACTTGAAACTTGTATCAGTCGACATGCGGTATTTAGTCAACCGGTAGAAGTTACCGGATTTTCGGTTTGTATCTCCCGTCTGCCGCTTCTAAGCACAATTCCATATATTCTACCCCAAATCAGTGTTTTGAGTTTGAGGTGCGGTATTACTGCTAAGCATTCTTTCAAAAAGCTAGCAGCTTTCAGTGCAATACGAAATATGTCTACTTCTGATTCGAAACCTAGACCACTTCTGTGACCCGCGGCCTGATAGACGAACACGTTACCACTGCACCATTGCTGGGATCACGTATGCTGTCCTGTTATTGCTGTCCCTGAGGTATCTGATGCTATTAAAACCCAAACACAAGAAAACCCGATATATTTTTCGCCTAATATTCCCCTCTTTAAATCGGTTACTAATATAGCAGAAGACTCAAATGGTCGTATAAACGTAAAACTTTTATTAGAAGCCTTTACTTGCCATGAGAAGCCATACCATTATCGTTCGCTCTGTAGCAAAGCATACCTATGTCTTTTTGCGCGCGCACACCGCCTAAATGACAGTAGCTCCCCGTTGGAAGTGGCGTATTAACAGATCAGTGAGATAACGTGACGCCACTCGCGTCCGCCGCGCAGCCGTCGCAACTATTACTAACAGGACCAACAGCGGTAGCAGCAACGTCGCCGCTATAGGCATCAACAGATCCCTTCGATTTTCCGGTAGTAATGCGTTACGCATCTTCAAATGTTTTTCTGCTATGGTGCGTCGTGGAAACATGGCAAGAATGTCAATGATAATGATGATTTTAATGACGCGAACTGTAATGGATAGTGGCAACAACGGGAACAGCAGCGACGATGGCTGCAGTTCGGCGATGATGTTGCGCCATTACGAGCCAGCAGAAATGTGTCTCCCAGCGTAAGATGACTGGTCACCGGTAACAGTATCATAAGCTACTGAATCATATACTAGCACTCGACGTGCCAGCCGCGGCTGCCGTAGTATTCCCCAGTCCCGCCCAGGATAAACAGACAGATGATCAGAAGTACACTGATAAATTGAAAACGCGAGCCTGTACACGGTCCCGTCGGAGCAACACTCCGACGTCGTAAGGGCTGAGACGATGGCATGCGATAATGTTTGCGATAGAATGACCGTAACGGCGTCAGCTGCGTTGACCGCTATGCCGAGAAGAAAGGAGAGAACCGTGCGGGGCTCCATAGACTCGAAGCCCATAAGTTAGCGCAACCAACACCCTTGGCCTAAGCCTGGAGTTGTGAACGAAGGGGCCGAAGACTCTTGTTGGTGCTTCTATTACCATAGCTGTAACCACGGCAACAACAGTTTGTACAACAGCATACCGGCAAGCGCTCCGTCGCTTGCCAACAGATGCGAGAAGGTCGGCCTGCTATGACAATGCCGGGTTAGAACGGGAGACGTACACGCAGCCTGGCTGTGTCCCATAGGTTCCAAGTCTGCCAGCTCATTCGAACAGATTATCTATTTAAACAATTTGACTAGCTAGCTAAATAGTAGGAAGCAAACTGATTGCATGAAAATTGATTTAATTTTTGATACCATATCCGTACGTAATAGAAGCGAGCGGGACAGAGAGAGAGAGTTACTTAGTGGCACTGTCTGTTGCGTGCTGTTTTTCCAACAGAACGCCTAAGACGAGGGGCTTTCCATTCTTAAAAAAAAACCTACCCAAAAGAGTAACAGTCCATCCGGCTGCCGATTATCGAGTTTAAGGATTAATTCAATTATAGATGAAGAAATATGTGGGAAGCTTTTTTGCGTTTCGCAGACTTCGGGCCAATAAATAGCCACCGTCCCTAATCACTGGTAAATGAAATTGGTAGCGGTACGCTTTATAACGAAGGCGTTCGTAGAGTTTGGCTAAACGTGTTCTTTGACAGCAAGTCTATTAGAAACCTTTTTCTGCCTCCAAGATTTCCGACGAGACGGAACAACTATATTGACTCAAAGATGTCGGAAATAAATTTATCGAAAAGATTTTGAATAAAATTCTATGTATTTATAGTTTGCCATCACTTATGCTCCAGTCTAATACGTGTAACAACAGACCGTCATTAAGAATTGATATCCTAAGCATTATTTTGCTTTTGGATATTTTGTTGGATGTTAGTTTATCAAAAACTTCTTGAAATAAATGCAGCGTTTCATCAATTAATTCGGCAAGTTCGAACAAACTTGAAATATCTGTCAGGCACTCGGCTAGCATCTTCACGACGCGCTGACGTCAAGCACATACACTGCTGTGTCGAAAATTTTATATTATAGTTATATCTAAGGGTCATGTTTGATCCAAGGAAGCATGGGCATTAAACATTTGTATTTGCGCATGAGGAGCAGAAGCAGTAGGACCCTGTAAGGACAGACACAGACGGAACTTAATGAAACTCCCTATGACATACAGACAGGATGACAACAAGCGCTCATCAATGGTAGTTATGGTTTATTTACCTGATTCGACCGTGTGCAGTAAATATAGATATGAAATTTCATTTAAAACGATGTTTTAAATCTTTTAGAACATAACATCGTAATTTTTCATTACTTCTGAAAGCAAATCTCGTCTGTGGTTTGTCAGTCTCTGACAATGGGCCATAATGATAATCGTAGGATTTTGTCATGTGGATGTAGTTTCGAGTTCCGCCCCTAATAGGAGGGCAACGCCCGACGGAATCACAAATGGATAGCTACGACATTTGACTGTTTACTTACAACTGAGGTATAGAAGATTTGCTATCATATTTCTAGTTGGAAATTCAGCAATTTCATTGAACCGTCTGGGCGTTTCCATTTGTTGTTACTTATTTATATTTATTACGTTATGTGCAGCCGTCTTTGTTAGTTGGACCGCTGTGCGTTGTCTGTGTGATCCGAAAAAATAACATAATAAGTTACAAGTTAGGCAGTACGAGAAATATTTATCTGTTTCATTGGGGGGCGAGAGCTCCTTTTTCTGACCTTTATGTATCATCAGATCCAAACGTAGCGTAGTGCATCTGGAGAACATCTTAAATATTGTTTCTGATCGCTTAAAGCCGCTATTCGCACAAAAACATCTGAACAATAGGTGATACAGTTCACTGCTACTATGGTTATATCTAAGGCCAGAGATGGTCTTCATAAGCAAATATAGAAAAACTCAGACAGCGGAAACTTTTCATTTTGATTTTTGTATACGTGTTAAATCATCTAGTTGTCTTAAACATATGCGCTTTAATGGTGAAGCAGAAAGTGACCGACTGAATGTAAGAGTATATTTTTGGACAAATAATCATTACATTTCTAAAAAAAAAAAAAAAAAAAAAAAAACGGCAAACCAACATCAATATTTATTTGAGATTAAGAGAGATGACAACAAGATTGAAACGGTGCCAAAAGTATTCGTCCCTCCACGTGGTTCTATTT